ACCCCCCCACCCCCCGCCCCAACTCCCGGCGTAAATCTAAGAGGGCGGGCCACCACGGCGCCCGAAACGCACGCAGGACGCGCGGCGGAAGTAGAAACAAGACCGGCCGGCCCACCCGGGCGTCTCAGTCTGGCTACCTGCGACGCGCGGAACGCTGGGGCGGGTGGCGTCACATCCGCCGGCCCGCCATCTTGTTCCCAGGGGCAGTTGGCGGAAGAGATCGCGCTCCCTGGCCGCCGGCTCGCCTTCTGCCGTGAGTTCTCGCGGCCAGCGTCTCGGCGTCTGCTCGCCACCCGAAGGCCATTTGTCGGCGTCCTCGTTGCCCTCCCTCACCGGGCTTGGGCACAGCGAGGCGGCCCCGCTGTCCCGACGGCGTTCCATGGAGTAGGGTCCGGGACCGTTGTCCCGAAGAGCGAGATCGAGCTTGGCCCCCTCCCCCCGTCCTCCCTCCCTCCTTCCTTCCGCTGCAACATGGCTAACAACAGCCCCGCGCTGACAGGCAACTCGCAGCCGCAGCACCAGGCGGCCGCAGCCGCAGCTCAGCAGCAGCAGCAACAACCGTGCGGCGGCGGAGCTCCCACCAAGCCGGCGGTCTCGGGCAAGCAGGGCAATGTGCTGCCGCTGTGGGGCAACGAGAAGACTATGAACCTCAACCCTATGATCTTGACCAATATCCTGTCCTCGCCTTACTTCAAAGTGCAGCTCTACGAGCTCAAGACCTACCACGAGGTGGTGGACGAGATCTACTTTAAGGTACGACGCGCCTAGGCCTGGGCTGGGGTTAAGTTCGGAGGAAGCTCGGAGGGAACGGGCGGGGCGGCCCCCGAGAGCTGAAGATTGGTGGATGATAGGGAGAAAGTTCGGTGGGTGGAGGGAGCGATGGCCTGTAGTCCGCCAGGCACAGGTCAGACGGGGGCCGCCCTCGTTTCCTTTTCGGATTTTTAGGACCGGGAGAGCCCGCCGCTGTCGATCTCTCAGATCTCCTGCCCACCCCAGGGGGGAGCTGGACGAGAAGGGTAGGGGAAAGCCGAAGAGAGTCATTGTCGCCTCTCCAGTTCACAGTTTAAAATCATTCCTTTTGATGCGGATCTAGCCCGCGCCAACTTGTTGGTGCTTTTCCCGCTCACTCCAAGTCAGGGCATGTATTGACAGCAGTGTTGGCCTCGTGTCGTTGGTACTCTCTGACCAGACGGGGAAGTGGTCGGTGCGAGTGAGTGGGGTGGGAGGGTGGAGCGTGGAGAGGTGCCAGTACAAGAGGTGTAACAGAAGGCCTGGAAATTTTCCCAGCAGGAAGTCAGGAGTGAGTGGTCTCAGTTACCTGTGCGTTGGGCTTATGAGAATTATCTGGGCCCTGGGCTTCTGCGGCAGGGTCGGTGCTGGCTTGGCTGTGCTGGGGAGCTCACCTGGCGCCTCCTCACTGCACTCTTGTCTCAGTTCTTGTTTCGTTAGCAGGATTGACTCAGTCTTGCAGCGAGGCTCGGAGCAGCCCAGGGTCGCAGGTAGAGGTATGCACTATTAATCATGCTCAATCGCCATAAATGCATTTCCCTGGGTTAAATGAACGGCTAATTAGATTATTTTGGCCATTGGTTTTGGTCTTCAACAACTAGATAGACTTTCTCCACTTACCTGCCAATTACATAGTTTGAAAAAAATATTTTCCGGGCCTCCTAAGGTTTTAAAGAAGATTTATAATAGCCTTACTGATCTTTAAATATTTTAGGTAGAGTATCTAACGAAATACAAATCGTTTTGTCTAGATGGACTCTTAAAACACTTGACAGACCACAAAGTATTTCCTGTGAGCTGAACATATCTGTAGAGATGTCAAACAATAGTAAATTTTTTAAATTTGCTGTTAGCTTATGTTTTGTTCACCTTTTCCCTAATTAAATGACTAGGTTATTGAAGGGTTTTTTTTTACATCAATTGCTTTTAATAGAAAATCATTTTGAGAATACAATTCAACTGTGGGTATAAAATGTACACTGAAATTTTGATATCCTCTTGCAAGAGTATTACTATTAACTAGGTTTTTGTTTGGTTTTTTTGTTGGGTTTTTTTGGGGGGGGGGAGTTTTTAAAGCTAAGGCTTTTTTTCAGCATGGGTTCAGTGTGGTGAATTATTCAGCCCTTAGTTTTATTTAGTAGTCAACTTCAAACAGTCGAAAAAAGGGTTCCTGCTCGTTTTGTGGCAGGTTCTATATAAGATCAGGTAGATGTTTATATAAGAGAAGAAAGGCTTGTTTTCTAACTTCAAATACTGTGTTTTGAAATGACTTCAGATTCTACTAGAAATTATTTCACTTTAATTATAAAACTAAAGCCCCAGGTTTTGTCAGGGATACATTAGATCACCGGATCACTGAGATGCTGAGGGGCCTCAGTTTTGTAAGTCCAGTTTGCTTTGCAGCCACCCCTTTGCTAGACTTCACTGAATTGAAGCATCCTTTATGCCGCAGGCTAGGGGAGGAAGGAAATGAAACCGTAAAGCCCTGCAGCCCTGTAGGGGTCAGCCGAGCAAAATACTGTAGTGCTTTAGGTTTAAATGTATGCTTTTCTGTCTGAAGCCACCAAAAAAGACTAAAATGTAACTAACCATGGTGGATGAAAATAGTTTTAGAAATACATAGTGAAAGAACAGGAGTTAGTTTTGTTTTTAAGAAACTGTGGATCTTATCTTTCCAAAAGGCCTTCTTGAGTTATATCTTTTGTAGAGCTTTTTTTTGGTTATATTTTAGGTAAAATATGTGGTTTTTATAGGGTCCCCACTTTAGCAAAGATGATACTGAATCTTTGGGTATACTTGATGTAATAACTAATCATATTCAGGTTTTTATACAGTTTATATTCTGGGGGGGGTGAATTGGTTCACATAATTAGGTTGAAAATGAATTATATACATTGACCAACCAGAATATCAGTATAGGTATAGTCTTTGTAATTTCATCTTTAGTCAGGAATGAATATAATATCTGACCATGGTTTAAAAAAATGCCATAATTATGCATCAGAAATAACTTACTGTTTTGGCATACTTTTTTCAAGTTGTGTTTTTTTTTTTTATTTTAGCATTGAATTTTAAATCACCATAAAATTGAACTATTGAGGTTATTATAAAAATTTTTTAATAAATACTTAATCATTAATACTTTTTACTTTAAGTGGGAGTTTCTGTTCATTTTAAAATGAGACTTTATTTTTTTAAGCAACTCGTAAAAACTATAAAGTTGGTGTATTATCTGATATTTTTAAAAAATATATGAGACTGGAAGTATTTTGGCCTCACATGGTACAGCTCCTTACAAAGCCAGAGGGGTTTCTGCTCTGTAAAGCTGTTGAGATTTTATTCAACCCTAGAGGCTTTATTGGTGCTCTTTAAATACCTAAGCTGCTTTTTAAAGATGATTTACATACTTGACGTGTGTAAATAAAATAAATACATCAGTCAAAATATTCTTTTGGAAGAGCTGCTGTGTTATGCCCTGGGTTTACTTGAATCATACTTTTAAAAAAATGTGAAGTATGAATGTTTGCTGTGTTCCTCTTTTCTATTTTCAGGTCACACATGTCGAGCCGTGGGAGAAAGGGAGCAGGAAGACAGCGGGCCAGACAGGGATGTGCGGAGGGGTAAGTAGAAGTACGTGCATTTTTTTTAGTTTTTCTGTGTCTGATAATAAGTTTATATTTAGGTCAGTTGCATTCTCAAATGACAAGTAGTTGGCAAATCTTAAAGTTCAGTTTTTGTTTTTGCTTTAATAACACCTACCAGGATTAATCAATTGGTGTTAAGTAACTTTATTGTTTCACTGCTTTTTAAATTTTTTCATCTTAAAGGTTCGTGGTGTTGGAACAGGAGGAATTGTTTCTACAGCCTTTTGCCTGTTATACAAGTTATTTACCCTGAAGTTAACTCGAAAGCAAGTGATGGGTCTTATAACACACACAGACTCTCCGTATATTAGAGCCCTCGGATTTATGTACATAAGGTGAGCGTGCGTTTATCTCCATTTTTTGATGAGTGTCTCATTTTAATTCACATCAGCCTAATCAGCCTTTTGTAATTCCAGGTACACACAGCCCCCTACAGATCTCTGGGACTGGTTTGAATCCTTCCTAGATGATGAAGAGGTATGTCGACAAGGGTAATAATTAGTTTTCTTTTGATTACTTTCATGTTTTTAATATCTTATACTTACTGGATGTTATACTTAACTGGATACTGGATCTTATACTTACTGGATACAATGTCTTCCAGAATTTTTTGTAGTTAAATTTCACTCATACTTTTCAAATTTTTACTAAGACTTGATGGATCATATATATTTTAGGTCAATTTTTAAGTTTTATATCCCCATTTTTCAATGTTTTTTGATGACTATTAAGACTTTTGTTTTTCTAATTATGCTACATGTGTGGTATTGATCTTTACTTGCAGAGTCAGTGGTGGCTTTTTTAAGGTGGACCTCGATCAAGATTAAGAGATAAGATATGCACATAGATAAGATACACACTAATTAGCTTTTTTCCTGGAGCTTTTTAGTTCTCTACTCTAACTTCCAAGTACTAATATTCTCGCTAGGGTAGAAGCATAGAATTGAAGAGCTGGATGGGGCTTAAGCAGGCTGAGAGTTAAGATGGCTCGTTCAGGGCACCAAAACATTCTGATTCTAGCTTTTGGACTTCTAGTGAGCTATATGCACAACACTAGTAAACCTTTAAACCACTTTTTTTTTCCCATTATAAATTTAGTTGACCGTTTAAGCTTAAAGAGATTGAGCTTGTTGCATATGTTCAGAAAACAAAAGTTACTTTGGAAAACTTTGTTAGGTTTAAGTTATATAGGTATTATTAACATGCTTACATCGTGAAGCCCAAGAACTCAAAAGAGACTTAATAATGGGCTGTGTTGTCCAAATACATACCCTTAAGCCACTGCTTTGTATTCTCAGGTTCACAGGTGAACTTTGAGTGTTGCATCGTTACTTTATTTTTCTAAACATTGTCCTCTTGTGCCTTTAAGAGCCAGCCCTGTACTCAGGGTGGCCCTTCTAGGCTGAGAGGGAGACCGTGCGTCCTGCCAGCCCTCCCCGCTGCAGCCGAGCACCGGGGCATGAGGAAAGCGTGGGCCGGGACAAGTCAGAGCCCTGTTCTTAAAATTTATGTAAAGAAGTCGTTGAATTAAAGGACAGTTGTAGTAGAAATTTCTCTAGCGCTACTATTATTGTGTGCGCACCTGAAAAAATCTCACTTGTGTAAACATGAAACATTTTTTAGACCATCCTTTATTTATTTATTTATTTATTTATTTATTTATTTATTTATTTTTTAGAGGGGGCGTAGAAAGAGGGAGAGAAACATGGATCAGTTGCCTCTCCTCTGGGCCCCATCTGGGGACTGGACCCACAGCCCAGGCATGTGCCCTGACCTGGAATCGAACCAGCGACCTTTCACTTTGTAGAGTGATGCCCAACCCACTGAGCTGCACTGGGCAGGGCAGACATGGGAATATTTGTCTGCATTTTGTTGGCCTGTTTACAGTTCTGTTCAATATCTCAAAAGAAGCAAAAAGTGTGTGTCAGGCAGTAAACCACAATCTTTAAAAAAAAATTTTAGAGGAGATTTTTTTAGGCTGAAATACATCTCGTTTTAATATTTAAGAAGCATGTCTCTTTCAGACTTGGTATTGTATTAGGTTTCTGAACACTTAGCGTGATGTCTTTTTAATTGTATTCACAAACCCAAGGATCTCTGTTTAAGCTAACTTATTGTTTTCTTCCTTAGATATCTGCAGCGATTATATTTGGAAATACTGTATATCTGAACACTTAAATGTGTGTGAGTGCAAGCAGTTTGACCTTTAGCTCTTGTTTTCCTGTGTAGATAACAAATCTCACTTTCCTTGTGTGCTTGCACTGTAGGTTTGGGACTGACAATAGCTGACTAACATGTCCTGAGCTGTGAGAGGGCATAGCAAGAAGGCCTTCATGCGGTAATGACCCTTTTCAGAGACAATGGTCATCCTGGATTACGCGTTTCCAATGATTTGTCCATTTACTTATTTTCTACATGACTCTAAATTAGAAACCTCACTGCTTCATGGCAGTTGGTTTGCTATTGCTTCCAGTGTTATTAGGGCTTCATTTTATACTTGACCTGTTAAAAGATAGTCCGTAGACAGGAATTGTCTTGATTAGTTCATATGTGGCCAGGTCACAGTGCCAGGAATGATGTGTGCAAACACAGACATAACTGTATACTTAGTGTGGGTATCGTGCGGGATGCAGATTCACGTCGATTGTTCCGCACAGTTAGTAATGATGTGAGGGCCTGTTTCACATCCTTGACCGAGTGAGATCAGTTCTCCTCTCGCCCAGGAAGCTGCAGGGTGTGTCCGCACCTGCATGTACACACTGAAGCCCACGTAGTTCTCTGTTGTTCATTGTGAGATTAGAAGGGTGCACAGATTACAATTGTTCTGTTAGAATCTGTATTGTATTTGAGATTCTAAGGATGGTAATTTTTTATAGTGCTCACGTGCTTGTTGAGATGGTCGTGTGACGGCTAGGGCGTCTGCTCTCTCTTCAGGACCTGGATGTGAAGGCTGGCGGGGGCTGCGTGATGACCATTGGGGAGATGCTGCGGTCTTTTCTCACGAAATTGGAGTGGTTTTCTACCTTGTTTCCAAGAATCCCAGTTCCAGTTCAGAAGAATATTGATCAACAGATTAAAACCCGGCCCAGAAAAATCAAGAAAGATGGGAAGGAAGGTGCTGAGGAAATAGACAGACACGTTGAACGCAGGCGTTCAAGGTAATACAACTCTTCCGTTAAGCTTGTTTTAAAAACACACTTCATACAGAGGTCTTTGAAAGTCAGTGGCGAGTTCTGTTTATAGTGTTTCTTTTGAGTGTCACTTTCTCTTCCAAAGGTCATTTTCTGCCTTTCATGACACTTTCAACAAAATTATTCATCTGTAAATGTGAACGTACACATTTTTCCCTTTAATCATTTTTGATACGTTTATGTAAGCTGTGGATCTAAATAAACAACACTGGTGACAGTTAAATTTTTTTTTTACAGTATATTCAGTTCATTTACATTTTCTTCTTTCCTCCTTCTGTCTTAAACATTAGGTCTCCAAGGAGATCACTGAGTCCACGGAGGTCCCCAAGAAGATCAAGAAGTAGAAGCCATCATCGGGAGGGCCATGGGTGTTCTAGTTTTGACCGAGAATTAGAAAGAGAGAAAGAACGCCAGCGACTAGAGCGTGAAGCTAAAGAAAGAGAGAAAGAAAGGCGAAGATCCCGAAGTATTGATCGGGGGTTAGAGCGCAGGCATAGCAGGAGTAGGGAAAGGCACAGGAGTCGAAGTCGTGACCGGAAAGGAGATCGAAGGGACAGGGATCGTGAAAGGGAGAAAGAAAACGAGAGGGGTAGGAGACGAGATCGTGACTACGAGAAGGAGAGAGGCGAGGACCGAGAGAAGGAGAGAGAGCGGTCCAGGGAACGGAGAAGCAGGGGTGAGGCAGAAGAAAAAAAGCATAAAGACGACAAAGATGATAGACGGCATAGAGATGACAAAAAGGATTCCAAGAAAGAGAAAAAACACAGTAGAAGCAGAAGCAGAGAAAGGAAACACAGAAGCAGGAGTAGAAGCAGGAACGCAGGGAAACGGAGCAGGAGCAGGAGCAAAGAGAAGGCGAGCAAGCGTAAGAGTGAAAGCAAGGAGAAGTCCAGCAAACGGAGTCGCAGTGGCAGTCAGGGGAGGACTGACAGCGCTGAAAAGGCCAGAAAGAGGGAGCACAGCCCCAGCAAGGAGAAGTCGAGCAAGCGCAGCAGGAGCAAAGAGCATTCCCACAAGCGGGATCACAGCGACGGCAAGGACCAGCCGGACAGACACGAGCATCGGAGGAGCCAGAGCACAGAGCTGGAGGGCCAAGACAAGCAGCACAAGGACAGAGACGAGGCTGTGTGAACGTTTCTTGTGAAAGTGGATCACATTGAATCCAATACATGTTTGATTAAATCTGCTTTTTCCCCTTCCCAACTTGAGGTTGTCGCAGTAGTACGCACTCTCGAGCTCCCTGCAGGCCGTGGTTTCATTTTCTCTTTCGTGTAGGGAAGTGCCTTTGTAACCCCATTTGCCGCACCGACGTTTTCACCAGTTGTTGAGTTAAGTACCTGGCGCGCAGGTTGTTCTTGCATTTTTATTGTTTAATTGTTTTTGAGGTGTACAATCTGTACATATGTCCTGAAAATGTTTTCATTTCTTTGGCATGGTTGCCATGTTGGTTAAATTTGTATAAGGCAATAAACTGCCACTAATTCTATTTTCGTTCTGTAGGTGTGGGATTATGGTTTGTGTACTGAAGTTCGCATGGCTGTGCTTTTCGTAACAGAATGCTGAAGGCTTGGAGAATGGATCTTGGCTGTTTATCGTAGGAGAATTATGTGCTTTCAATGTACACGAAGCCAGCAGTTGTAGGATTAATATTCTTGTCCACTGTATATTATCTCGGAAGGCTCTTGTTAATATGTTACACTTAATATTCTCCACAGTAAACTTTAGAGAGACTTTATGAGTAGTTTCTGATACCAGAGGTTTAAATTAGGCTGTGATTTGATCAAAAGTCCTTTTAGCATTCTACCTCAAAGGGACACTTAGTATGCCTAAAATATGTTCACTTAGTTTTTTCTGTTTTATTTGAAAAAAATACATGACATGTATTGGGTTTTTTTCCTTGAATTTCTCAGATTTTAAAGTACTATATTAAAGGAAAAAATGTCTAAAGCCTGGCATTCGGGCAGCAACCCTACACTGATGAGGAATTGGGAGAGGGTGGGGCGGATGAGTAGAGAAAATAGATTCAAGCCTCAAGCTTCCAAAGCATTTTTATAAATGGAAAATACTTAAATTATAAAACAGCTTGATATAGTGTCCTTTTTTTAAAATTCAAAACTTTTTTATTGATAATGAAGATTGCTGTTTTGAGTTTTTAAACTTAATCTAGAACAGAGAAGTATTAAAAGTAATGCTATACTGCATTATTTAAGATTATCAGCAAATTACTTGATAGATTGTTCTTATGACTTGTATTCTGATTACAGAGAAGGATCATGAGTGTGGAATAAATACTGGATTAAATCCTTTATCCTGGGTGTTGGCTTTTCCCCTATGTGTTAATATTTTCTTGAAGTGTTTTTGTGGAAACTTGTAAAATGTTAGAGTCGTACTTTGTAGAGATACATTTTAGTGAATCTTAAGCATGTGGCCTGGGATCACATATACGGGTGCTCAGTAGTCCTCACTGGAGTTCTTCACGGCAGGCCCCTCTGTCTGTGCGTGTTGCGTTTCTGGGTGGTTCTCTGGGTTGGGTGATTACTTAGTTTTGTATCAAAGGTGCTTATGGAGGTACTTTGCATTTAGAGTGCATAATTGGACTTAGAGGAACTTTCCCAAGTTCACTCATTTAGTTCTTGTTAGAACACAGGAACAGGCGCAAAGGGGTGGCGTCCAGATAGTGCCCGGGCCGCCGAGAGCGTCTCTGAAACCCTCCTGTGTTAACTTCTGTGCCATCTCACGGTTTCTGCTGGCCAGCTGAGGGGCATCTGCAGCCGCCTGGCAAATGTGTTAACTGGAGCAGACAAGTACTTCTGAAGAGCCCGTCATATGTGGGCCTAACATTTATTTGTATCTACCTAACTCCAGAAAAATCTCATTAAATGAAGAAATTTCTCTATGAAATGCTATGGGTTTTTTTTTAGATCAGCTGAATTAACACTAGAAACATAGCTTCAATTTTTATTTTTTACTGACAGATTTTAGAGAAACATGGATTTGTTGTTCCATCTGTGCATTCATTGATTGCTCCTGTGTGCCCTGACCTGGGATCGAACCTGCAACCTTGGTGAATGGGGGCAGCACTCTAACCAACCGAACTATCCAGCCAGGGCCACCTAAAATGTTAATTCCATAGTGTATTTTATGTAAAAGGTGGGAAGAGTTTATTTCAAATGGAGGTGAAAAGTTCTATCATGAGCTGCGTTTCATTTCCTATGTCATTTAAAGTTGTTTTGAGGAACATTTTCATAGAAGGTATAATACCAGTTAATGTCAAGTATATTTGGGATTGTCTT